ATATATATGTACAGTATATACAGAGAAGAGACTGTGAGTGGCCCCATTCTCAAAAGTCTCAAACAGGTCACTTTCTGACTTGTGTTTTTGTTGTGTCTGGGTGAAAGGATATAAGCACTGAGGAAGAATAAACTGCTGCACAAGTAAGCAAGAAAAAAAGTGCCAAAAAGAAGATGCCAGCAGTTGTCAGTTCAGATGTTCTGAGCCGCGCTGAGCTGAGCATACATCTGAGCTCTGTCGCTGCACGTCAGCTCATCCCAGTCCAGGGTTTGTTTGTGAAGACGGCGGCAGCAATCGCAGATTAAGATGCTGTTCATGCTTTGCCCAGTTTCAAGATGGGAAAGATGGGAATAAAAAGAAGTTTGAGATCAAGATCAGATGACTGTCCTTATGAATAAGCAGAAACAAATCGTTGCACTCGTCAATGCTATGTGTGAATTTTTTATATTTCTCTGCAGCTGTGTTCCTTTAAAACTCCAGTGTGTAGGATCTAGGAGGATATACTGGAGGAATGGAACATAATAAGTATGTTTCCTTATTGTATAATCACCTGAAAATTAGAATCATCATGTTTTCTTCACCCTAGATTGAGCTGTATCTACATCGGGAGCAGATCCTCACCCATGGAGATTGCCATATTGCTGCGTGTTCCCACTGTAGCCCATAACAGTCAGGCCTCACATTAGCTCTAGATACTGCACTATTGCACTTTCAAGTCAGCCACCATAGTTGACAGCCCCTCCATGACAGATAGTTCGGCTCCTGATACAAACCTCCTGAACAATGATTACTGAAGGAATACTAACCAGAAGTTTCAGCTAGTTGCAATCTGCACTCCTCCCCGCTAGCTGCCACTAAATCCCCCTAAATCTTACACACTGGACCTTTACGCCAGTCATATACTACTCTTGATCAGACACACTGTTCTCACCCTGTATATCTGCACTGAGTATCACTGAAACAGTGTTGAACAAAAACGGCAGAAAGATTCACACACTCTTCTAACACATCTGTGTGAATGATGCTTCAGCTTTGCTTCCTGTGTGTTTGTGTATAGATTCTGTGATAGTACAGAGGTCATGTGGCTCAGGCTATAGCTGTTTGTGACACCGGGAAACTGCTTGACATCATCCTCGATCCATGTTCTTCATATTTGTTCACATTTTATGTATCATCATTGTCACATGGATTGTCTTGCAGGGAAACTCAACTCTGCCCTGGGGCTCCTTTTGCAAAATGACAGGAGTCCACGCAGCAGTTCATAAAAAAATGATAAAAGTAAATAAATAAATGACTTGTTTTCAACTGTTCTATGTCTGCTGTCCTAGCCAATCTTTGCCAAGAGGCATATCCAGTCACAACCCCACAGGTGTACGCAGTGTTTACAGGATTGGTCTGGGGATGCTGCCCTTGCATTTATTGATAAACTAGCTCTATTTTGATTTTTTTAATGTATTTTATTTACATTCAAAGTACAAAAAAATCCGAATATGATTTAATTTACTGTCATTTATTGGTCGACGGGCAACCCGGCACCCTATAGACCATTTCAAGGCATCTTTCAGTTGCTAGGGAACGACATTGTTGCTCCACTTAGACTTCTGGTTCAGCCACTACTGCACGAAAACAGCACATGAAATGCTGAACTTCAGTCCTCCTGAACTAAAATAAACACACTGTGGGAGATGGGGAAATTAGTTTTAGGACCTTGCTGCTCAGTGGTAGGTTGTTCCCTTTGACAAGGTACAAACTTGATGTCAGAAATAAAAGTCAACCGCGTCCCCAAAGAAAGAAACCAATGCAAAGCAGCGTTCAAACAAAAGAACTGGACACCATCAGGAGAATGAAGGGTCTGTAGTGTTCATTTCATCCCTGATAAGTTTACAGTTTTTGGGGAAATGCAAATGACAAGAGAGACACACAGCACACACAAATAGTGTTTCCCAGTGGTGTCCAGTTCTTTTGTTTGACTGCTGCAGTCCATGCTTTGTGCTGGTTCGTTTCTTCAGGGAGGCACTCCACTTTTATTTCTGACATTAAGTTTGTGCCTTGTCAAAGGGAACGATCTACCACTGAGCAGCAAGGTCGTGAAACTAATTTAGCTATTTCCCATGGTGCGATTTCACTTCAGGAGGACTCAAGTTCAGTGTTTTAGATGGTGTTTTTGTGCAGTAGTGGCTGGACCTGAAGTCTAATGCCGTGTTCACACTATGAGCGACACAGCAACAGGCTACAAGTCATTTTCAAAGGAAGCCGATGACATGAAGCTACAAACTGACGTCCAAAAAGATGACATTCACTCGAGGTTCTTCGTTGCAAGTTGCAGACACAAGCCTGTGACGAAATAGCTACGTTGTTGAGTTCTTGAGCAGCACTTTAAAGGCGACTCGGCAATAACATAGCTGGTCATGCTGTTGTGTTGTCGCTCATAGTGTGAACACACCATAAAAGGAACAACTGTGTCATTTCATAGCAACCGAAAGACACCTTGAAACAGTCTAAAGTGGGCCAAAGGTGGCCGGTGGATGTAAGTTGAGTATCAAATGGACTTTGTAGTCCTTTCTAGTCTTCCGACCACTCAAAGTGCTTTTACACTACATGTCACATTCACCCATTCACACCCGCATTCACACACTGGTGGCCTAGGTTACCATACATAGTGCCACTCAGTAACAATTCACATGGGGGTTCAGTATCTTGCCCAAGGATACTTTGACATGCAGAGTGGAGGAGCCAGGGATCGAACTGCCAATCCTCCAAATAGTGGACGATGTGCTCTACCTCAGCCTCCTCAAATCAGTGGTCTATACTGTAATGTTATTACACTGGTTATCTGTTCAAACCAAAGCTATTGCACATCTGTTCGTCCTGGGAGAGAGATGTCCCTTCTAAGATGCTCTTTCCAGAGTTTTTCTTATCAGGAGTGAGTGTCAAAAGGACAGAGAGTGTTGTGTGCTGCACCGGCTGTACAGACTGTAAACCCCCTTGAGATACAAGTCTGATTTGTAATATTGAGCTACAATAAATAAAACTGACTCGACATCCACGCCACTTGGTGTTAACCACAACAACTATTGATCCAGCTCTCCATTAACTAGTTTTCCTCTACTGCTGCTGGAGCTGATAGGCTCCCATGGGAGACTGGATGGGATGTGCTGAAGGCTGAATGAATTATTGAGGAGACAGTTGGGCTAAATTCTCCCTCTGGTTGGACAGACTCCAAGGCCGCACATGTCTGCTTTAACTTCTTTAAATATATGTTACATTAGCCTACATTTAATGATTATAGCAAATACAAAATGTAGGGCAACGTTGCAGATGAGAAAAAGGAGGTGTTACATAACTTCAGAGACTGGGGTAAGAAAAAAGTGAATTAACCACAGGGTGCAATGTCATGAATATGCGTGCAATCTAATGCAATCCAATACAATAGACCTGCAATATGATTTAACATTTAAATATGTTTTTAGAGGAACACCAGCAGCATAAACACACTGTAGGCTGAGCTGAATCAACTTCTCCCTGACACAAAAAATAACTCTTCTTTACAAAGTAGTGTTGCAGCGCTGAGGGCTGGAGAGTCGGGCTGCAGAAGAGTGCACGAATCTTCGTGCTTGCTGTGTCCACCCCCCTGTACCTGCCTGTCCTCGGGCATCTCACGGCATTCAACACCAACACGCCACATGAACCTAATTCCCTCCTGAATCTGTTCAAATTATCATCTGAATGAGCCGTGACAGTATAATTTACTAATTCACTTTGCGCAAAATGTCGATATTGTGCGTGCATCAGATCTCCCTCGGATCACTCTCGTGTGCAGGTCTAATGAGTCATGACATTAACAGAGCCTAAAGCCCTCCTCCCACGCTCCTCCAGCCCACTCCTCTCTTTATTTGAGGCGCTCCTTTGCTCCAGTCCTCAGAGCAGCAGGCGCCTCAGTCAGCGCAGCTCTCTCCTGCCGCCTCGGAGGGATTGGAGCTGGACACACTTTCTTGGATGTATCTTCATCTCGCCAAGATGAGACTTATTTTTGTTGCAGTTGCGGTTGCGGCTTTGCTGGCAGGTAGGTGATGCTGTGTGTTCTTGCAGAGTGGTTTCAAGTTAGTGAGCGCTGTTCAGGACCATGGACAGAGACTTTCACTTTAACGCATCCAATCCTCGTGCAGTTTGACTAATATTTAACATAATGCTTATTTTCTAATGCAGAAAATCTAGCGCTTCCAGTGGGAAAAGAAGGACAGAGAGAAGATGTGGTATGCTTTTATAATAACATTTGATTTTCAAGTTTAAAACAGCAGCTCTGCAGACATTTCAGAGCTACAAATGTAGTTTATTTGCTTGCTGCAGGTTACACGCTGTTTGGTCGAAGTCCTCTCCAAAGCTCTCTCCAAACCGGACTCCCAGCTGGACCAGGAATGCAAAGACATTCTCCAAGCAGGTTTGTAGCACAAGCGGATTTCTCTCTGTGCATGTGAGATAGTAAACAGGCATATTTAAAGCATTAAATTGTGGACAGTGTTGATGCAGCACTCTTTTAATTGTCAGGTTGCTGAGACACTGAGGAGCTGGTATAAAATCCTTGAACAACTATATTTTGGCAACAAGCTGGAGACAAAAATAGAGCTATTAAGAGCTTTCATGCCACTTCCACACAGAGATGAGACTTTAATGGGGCAGTTCACCCCGAAATCAAAATTACATATTTTTCATCTTATCTATAGTGCTACTTATCGAGCTAAATTGTTTTGGTGTGAGTGGCAGAGTGTTGGAGATATTGTCTGTAGAGATGTCTGTCTTCTCTCCAATATAATGGAACTAGATGGCACTCGGCTTAAAGTGCTTAAAAAACTCAACAGCAATGTCTCTTTCCAGAAATCATGACTCATTTACTCAAGATAATCCACAGACCTCGTTGTGATCAGTTCCATGCAGATACTATTTTCCCTCCACCGATTTACACCCACCAACCTTATTGCTGTAGAAGGAAGAGTGTATCTTCTCACAGATGAGAGGCTCGTGCTTGTGACAATGTGAGATGTAAACGTTAATGGCGTCCTTTTTGGCTAAGCTGTAATGCTGGCTAGCTCAGTGGTGCTAGGTGAGCTAGCAGTAGATGCCCAGCTCGCCACCAGCGTGGTTAGATGTCGATATTTGGTTGAACTTTGGTTGTCTGGTGACCAAAATTCAGTGTCAGGTCAGCGTCTAATGACATAGAATAGTGATGACAGACAACAATGACATTTTGTTGGTTTTCAGTTGTGTTGTTTAGTGGCCAAAATCCAACATCTTCTATACATGTCATGCCAACGTCATCTTGACGTAGAACAACAGGCCTTGGTTGTGAGTTATGGAGGCCAAAACCCAACATCTGCAAAATATCATAATGTTATCATCCACACAAGGTGAACTTCTAATGTTGTTAGACATTTAAAAGATCATCAAAACAGTTGCCATTCCAATCACAATTTAACATTCGTTACCAACTGGGCCTCTGCAGTTGTAGTTTGGCAGAAAGAAAATAGTCCCTAGATGACACTGCTCACAACAAGGTCAGTGGATTATCTTTAGTAACTTGGTCACGATATCTGGAAAGAGACATTGCTGTTGAGTTTTTCAAATGTATTTTTTGGCACCACATACTGGGGAGAAAGCAGACATCTCCACACCAAAACAATCTAGACTGATAAATAGCACTGCAGGTAAGAGGAACAATATCTATGTTTCATTTTGGGGGGTGAACTGTCCCTTTAAAACCCTTATCCTTCTGTTTATTTAATTGAACCTACATATAAAACGAGCTATTGATCAAATGATCAAACACAAGACAGGATCTGACCTAAAGGTTGAGGTCTTAGCTATAATAAGTCGATCTTTACACCTCTTTTGATCTTTCTTTTGTTCTTTCATAGGGATCAAACATGCCCCGCTGGACAAGAAGAGCGGGGAGGGGATTGTAGTTCATGAAGAGGCGGTCAAAGGTCATGCTGAGCAGCCTGAGGCAAAGGGAGCAGACGTAAAAGACATCGAGGCACTTCTGAAATCCGTCGAGGAAAAAAGAGAAACCTCAGAGGACGAACGCAGCCAAGAGTCCTGGAATCTGGGTGACGAAAAGGAGAAGAGACACGAGAATGAAGTAGAAGAAGAACGGGAGAAGAGGAGCAGCTGGAGGCCCAGATATCACCAAAAGAAACACAAACGGGGAGAGGAAGAAGAAGACAACGAGCGCAGTCAGGAGAGTTGGGCGTCCATAGAGAAGAGATCAGAAGAGGAAGGTGACGAGAGAGAGAAGAGGAACTGGAGACCTGGAAGATACCACCAAAGAAAACACAAAAGAGACGAGGAACCTTTAGGGGAGGAGAGGGAGGAGCCAGAAGAAGAACGCAGCCAAGAGTACTGGGACTTCGATACTGGAAGAGATAAGAGAGAATGGAGGGCCGGCAGGTACCACCAGAGGAGACACAAGCGTGATGAGGAGCTCTCGGAGGAGGAAAGAGAAGAGCCAGACGAGGAACGCAGCCAGGATTCCTGGGGCATTGACAAAAGGCACGGTGACGAGGATGAGGAGGAGAGATCCAAGCGCATATGGAAGCCCACACATCGCTACCACCACAAGAAGAAGTTCCACAAACGTGGTGACGAACCATCAGAGGAGTACGAAGATGGCGAGCGCAGCCAGGAATCCTGGGGTGTTGACAAGAGAGAGTGGAGGGCCGGAAGGCACCACCAGAGGAGACACAAGCGTGACGAGGAGCTCTCCGAGGAAGCCAGGGAAGAACCTGATGAAGAACGCAGCCAGGAATACTGGGACTTTGACACCGGAAGAGATAAGAGAGAATGGAGGGCCGGAAGGCACCACCAGAGGAGACACAAGCGTGATGAGGAGCTCTCAGAGGAGGAAAGAGAAGAGCCTGACGAGGAACGCAGCCAGGAGTCCTGGGGCCTCAACAAAAGACACGGACAGGACGATGAGGAAATAGAAAAGCGCATATGGAAACCAACACACCGATACCACCATAAAAAGAAATACCACAAGCGTGGCGGGGGCTCATCAGAAGAAGACGAAGAGCAGAGAAGTGATTCAGAGGAATACGAAGAACCAGCAAAGGACGGGGATGAAGCAATTAGGTACTTCTATCTGAAAACTCTTTAATTCAAGTTTGTATTCTGCACCTGGGGACACAAAACACTGCAGAGTTCAGTAACACCAGCCTCCGATCAATTGGGAACATTCTGTGCGAGAAATGAACAAACCCCTTTGGCTGTGTACACGTGCTGACATAAAAAGTATTGGCAGAGCAGTGTCTAATTGGGGCTGTTTTTCAGGTATCTGGCAGAGAAGCGCAATCCCTGGATTTTCAGAGGTTTCTACCATCCTGCATGGTACAAAAGGGATTCAGACGGGCACGCTGCAACCTCAAACAAGGCAAGCATTATGTGATGGACCTGTTTTCTGCCTGCATGTATAAGACAGAGGAAATTTGATCTTGCTATCCAGTATTTTTTTAAGAATTTCTTAGCATATAAAACCTTTTAGCATGCGTGTGCATATTAATTAGTATGGACCAAGCACCCATCAGTTTTCTTAGTAATAAACTCTATTTTTTCATCGGTTACTGAGTTTTTTTGGCTTACATTGTACGGTTTAGACATAATCTGATTCAGCTTCTAATCAATGTCTTCAGATGGACGAACTGGCCAAGTTGCTGAGCTACAAGATAAACCAGCTGTCCAGCCACTCTAATCAAGAGGAGCCAAAGAAGATTGTGCACCAGAGAGCACTTACCCCGCAGGAGGTAAAAACTGCTTTCTTTCACTGTTAAAAAAAGGAGCTCTTTTATGGCTGTTGGGGAGACACATTTGCTGTCAGGCTCACTTTGTTAAACCTCTAACTAGACCTCTGAGGTGAAAACGCATTATGTATGTCATATTGTTATTTACTGTGCTGCACAGACAGGTGGGCAGAGGACACGTTGCTCTCAGTATTTAGAACATGTGCATCTGTCCCATCCAAAAAAAACCCATGAAGGTCGCAGAGGACTTTTATTTTTCTGAAATTAAAGACATAGACACCATAATTCGATGCAGAAAAGGCAGAAATTTGTGTATTAAAATTCACCAGGATGCACAAAATAAGTGTTCGATGCTCAAACTTATTGGAAGAGGACTCCAGAACAACAAAACTACAGTTAAATTCCTTCAAACTACTCTGACAGGTCTTGAGAATAGTTTTAAATCAGATGTCATGTACAACGTAAAACGCTTTGCACTGCTGGTGTTTCCATAGAAAAAAAAAAAATCCCCCTATATATTTAGCTGACCCAGTAAAGCCATGAAGCACATCAAGCGCCTCCACCACCACACTGTTTCACTGGGGGGAAACGCAGCCGGGCTCATTATGGAAATCTCCAGTCTACATGGAGATGTCAGGATTTAGCCTTCAGAACCACGGAGCATCCGTGAATATGCATCTGTGCAAATGCACATCGAGAACTGTCCCTCATGTGCACGTCCCAAATACATGAAGGAGAAATGCAACCAGTATATTCATGTGCAGTGACTTGTTCCTCAACTCTGGAACACTTAGAGTGAATTTTTTACTGCCTTGTTCAAATTAGTTCTTCTTCACGGCATCTCTCTTCAACACTTGTCCCCTATTTTTTCCTTTTACACTTCCATATCGGCTTTTTATGACTGCTGCAGTAATCACACTGAGAACCTTGTGATTATAGCCTCCCAGAGCAATCAAAGTCATAATACGCCCATTAAAGAAAGAAATCGACAGCCTGTGGAGGCCTCGCTATCTTGTCACGGAGTTTAAAGTAGAAAAACAAATCAGGGAGGAGGAGGTGGAGGGATATCAGCGCTGCGACTCCAGAGATAATGAGGCAATGTTTAACCTAAATGACCAATTTAGTCAGATTTTGTTTTGCAGGCTTGGGTAAACAAGCCCATTTTATCATAATTTAATCCTGATTTCAATTCCATTAATGGTCAACAAACAGATTTTGGATGTCACAATATAACCTGATGTATTAATCTCGTTTTCAGGAGAAAGAGCTGGAAAACCTGGCAGCGATGGATGCAGAGTTGCAGAAAATCGCCACCAAACTGCATGACAACAGTGCATAACCCAGCACGGACACCATTTCAAGACACTGTCAGTGGATAAAGCTGCTGTCTTACTATATGTCAGCCAATTTAATGTGCTTACAGTGTTAAAAAAAAACAAAAAAAATGACCGGAGCCTTGCTGAAAACATTTTATCAACTTGTTTATGATCGTATTTGTGATATTTTGGTGTTATCGAATTAAGCCGCATGGGAATGGTTTTGATGTTTATATAGAAAATATGAGATTATAATATATATATATATAATGAGATAAATTATTAAAACTGTGTTCTGAAGAATTCTGCACTCAATAAAAGAAGTTATTCTGGGACCAAGCAAATGTCTCCAATTATTTCTTGATGAGTAAAAACACGAGCTCACACATTGGATGGTTTAGTAGTTCTTTTTAATTCTGTGCAGATACAGATGTACCTGCAGTGAGGCTGCGTTAGCAACTGGATCATATAACAAACGGCACTTTCTGCAGGGATAACAAAATAAAAAAAGTTACAACCTAGAAGCTGAAGAGCATTAACTGGAAAAAAAACAAACACCTGGTCTCGAGGCATAAGACACAAATTTGTCACTTACTCTCAACACACCAAAATTACTTCAGCAGTTCCTTACGTAACACGTACACTGAGCTCGTACTGGCTTGTAGTTTACTCCTCAGCATCACGCCTTCATCTGCGCTGATCTGAACACACGAGACGGGAGCAAAGTGCCCTGATGAATGCAAACCAGACACTCCCGTCTCCCTTTATTCCAGATGTGTCAAATCAGTTCAGCAGAAAGAGGAGTCGATGCTGGAGGAAGAATCCCTACAGGCTGTCAGTAATGTGCCCTTAAAACATTTGATGCTTCTGTATTTGTTTATCCTTCAGTGTCTGTCAGTTTCAGTCTCTTTGGTGCTGGTTCCTCCTCTCTCTGGGAGCCTGCGGGTTTGGAGCGGTCCATGGCGACCGTTGTTCCTGAGAGGAGGTAGCCCCCGCCCCCGCTCATCAGCAGCACAGGATGCGTCCTGTTAGGCAACACCTAGGGAGACGACAGTCAGGAGACATTAATTCTACAGGAAGGGCTCGGGAGAAATAACACTGGTCCTGAGTATACAAACACATTGTTGTTAAGTATCTTATTACAAAGAATACATGCTGCCAAATGTGAAGTATCTGAAACACAATTAAAATACAAAGAGGACAGACAGGACTTTCTTCCTCAGCAGTACATGAAGGTCTTACTTAAAGCTGAAACAGTAAGTGTGGACAGACAGTTAATCATCAACAATTCTGATTATTGATTTAAAGGCAGCAGAGATGCCAAACATTACTCTACTGTGAGAATCTGCTGATCTTCTGTGTTTCCTGTCACTGCAAATTGTATTTATGGTCAAACCACAGATGTTGGTCAGACACTGATTTGATAATGTCACCTTAAAGCTGGGGTAGGCACTTTGATTTTAGGTCACTGGGCAAAAATCTTATAATAAACTTTGAGCACATTGTAATTCAAGTGGTCTGAGAAAAAAATAGACCTCTGCACCTCCTCTTGGCTCCGTTTTCAAACTTTAGAAAATACAGCCTGGGAGACTTTGGCCAAACACAGGTCATTTCAGAGAGAGGGCGTTCCTATTGGCTGTTCTACAAATGCAGATGTGCATCAAAGTCTGATTCAACAGTGAAGAATCCTGAAGAGGAAGTTTCAATTCCAGCACTGGCAGCAACTGCCTACACTGCGGAGTAGGGACGTAACGATTACCAACATTACGGTAAATTTCGGTTAATTTTTACACGGTAAGAATTACCGTTTATGTTTAAATTAATTGCATTATCGCGGTGGATTATTAGGATATGTAATTACAGCCTCATTCAAGTCTCGCGATGCAGGCGCTGCGTGAATGTGTATCATGTGTAAACACAAAGAATGAAAACATGGCGGAAGGTGGTGATAGCGGCACTCAGGACATTTCCCCCCCCCAAATAAACGCACAAAATCTGAGGTCTGGGCATACTTTGGGTTTCTGAAGAATGCCGAGGGACAGCTGGTGGAAGACAACTATCCTGTGTGCAGAGAACATGCAGAAAGAAAGTTGCTGCGAAGGGTAGCGACACTACAAATCTGCTGGCTCATCTCCGTGACCGTCATCCACAGCTTTACAGCCAATGCAAGTTATGCTTTGCAAATTTCAGTTATTGTGTGAGGGACTTTGATTTTACTAAGATTGTCATAATGTGTAACTATCAACGGTTTTCGTTTAAGACACTTAGGAGCTAATACTAGCTGAGTAGCTAATAGCCGTATTAGCAGCTATGTTGCTAAGTGTTTCAAAACGAAACGGAGCTGAAAACACTGAGCGGAGCAAGGTCAGCAGTCAGCCTATATTATGTCTTGAACTGGGACAGAACAATCAATCAGTGAAGTTCTCTTAATACTTGAATGTTTGGACTTGTTTACATGGTATTGCAACTCTTAAGTTGTTAAGTGCATGTTTATTTATTTGCACATTTAAGTTTATTTAAGGTTTAAAGTTTATTTTATTCAAAGTTATTTTAAGTTGCACTATTACTTGCACAAATTTTCCTGAGGAACAAGTTTTGTTCCTAATTGTTTACATATTTTGCTGACTGTTAAAATGCACCAGACAAATAAGCTTTGCTCCTGTAATTTGTTTACAATGCCAATCCCTTGCCCCTTTAATGTGAAAGTTTCATCTTAATATAAGATATTAGCTGTTAATATTTTAGTATGATACGGAAGTTACAAGATTTAGTGAAATTATTTCAATGTATCTATTTTTTGGACATTTTACAGCGCTTAAAAAAATATCGCGATACTATTGTTTACCGTGATAATTTGGTCACTATAATCGAGATATCAAATTTTCCATATCGTTACATCCCTACTGCAGAGCACCCCAAAAAGGAGGCTGGACTCATCAAAAAGACAGTCTGACAATAAATTAAGTTAGACAATATTGGCAGAGTGTTTCAATGTTGCTAATAGTTTGGCTTTCTGCTAACCAGAGCCAACTGTTACAGACTGCCTCATCAGGAGGAGAGCGGGCAGCAGCTCCAGAGACGGATCCCCCAGTCAGCAGCCCCAGCGACCCCAATCCAGCCAGTGCGAACTCCAGCTCAGGGCGACTGGACAGCCCAGACATACCGACAGATCAGCAAAATTTCTGTTGTTGCTATTACACAAGTTAGACCTGGCAATGGGGGGTTTGCACTGGCTGAATTCGACCCGCTACAGTCGTAGACTGAAGCTCAGTCTCCCAATTTGCTGTTCACTCTCCTCCCGGCGAAACAGTCGACAGGGTTCAGAGAGGGGAGAGCTGCATTTTCAAATTCTGCCTTTTTTGGCCTGTTCCAGATTTCTCTCTATAGTTTACTCCCAGCTTTAAGATGCCAGAAATTGTCATGCCAGTTTTTTGTTTGCTTGTTTTTTAAACAATACTCTGACAAAAGATTTTTTAAGAGAAATTAATTTCTTATAAAAAGCTTTATCGACAGTTTTGAGCAATTTGAGTAATTTGCGAGTTACTCAAATTAAGTATGTGATTAATTTTAATCCTTAATTGAAGCTTACATAAGCCCAGTTCAGACCAATGATTTGCAAACGAAACCGTTTAGAACGTTGCAGAGAAAAGTTGCAGTTGCAAAACTTAAGTCCAATAGTCAGTCTCTTTTTTAGCTCTGTTTTGTCCTCCAACTCTTGAAAAAAATCTAATGCTTCACTTTGTTCACCAGCTAGCTACTAACTTTGTTTGGTGTGTTTTGTAGCTTTTTTGCCGCCTGATACATCTGAAACCAATGATGATGAGAGTGTTGAGTCGAAACAGTTAAATTGTCACCGTGAAACCAAAAGAGTGAGCTTAACAGTTAAAACGATCAGCTGAGCTAAGGGGAACTGCGGGTGATAATCCTCTGTAGGTTCATCACTATGAGCGGCCCATTACACATGCACTTTCGATCCACTGTTGGCGTATAAACATGGATTGAAGCATCTTTAACAACAAAACACATGGAAGAAAATCACAATACAGTGCTGATCCAGAGTGCAAATGTTACCTGGTAATGTCTGAGCCAGGTGTCTGTGAGCCTGAGGTTCACCGTGCCGCCTTGTTCCTTGAGTTTTGTGTAGCACTCGATGAGAGGCTGCAGACATCGAGCGGGAAGAGATGAAAAAGGAGCATTAACGAGCAAAGTCAATGACTCGACACACACACACACAGGGTGATCTTTTTAGCAACATAAGCACTATAGAAGTAATAAGGGCAGGGACGTGATAGGCCTTGTAACTCCTTGGCAATGACAGGATGTCCGCTAGGATAATGTTATAGGGACAATCCCTGCTGGAGCAATAAAAACCTGTGAGCATGGCAGCTCATGAGAGATCGTTCTAAGATAACTAACTGACCTCTTTCAGCGGGCGTGTTGTTGTGCCAGTAAATACCGCCAGTCATGATGATCTTACCTCTTTGTACTGGGAGTAGACTACAAAAGGCCTGGAGGGGGAGAGGAATTTGAGCAGGCCCATTAGGACTGGACATGGGTGGAAACGACTGGCTATAACCAACCTGCAGGTGTGAAACAAACAGATGATCAAGCAAAACTGTCCGATATGAAATACACTGTAAACAATACACTCTGTTATTGGAATTCTGTAGGTCAGCAGGGTCGTGACTTAGCTCATCGGTGCTGCATGCGCCAGAAGACGTGGGGATTTAGTGCCTATTGTAGACATTCATTTCACATTTTATAGAGCTCGATAAGGGTCAGTAAAAGAGGCTGATTTAGGACATTATGGAAGATTGTGCTCTGAGGTTCAGTTTATGATGTAGAGGAGACTGGGAGGAAAGTCAGTAGGCTAACCAGATCAATACTTGTACGTCTGGCTCGGATGTCACCCTCACAACACGTCATCCATCAATCATTAAAAGCCATAAAGCACATGCTTCACTTTATATGACAGGAAACTGCAAAGCAATCACTTTGTTCACCTTGTGAGGGCATCGTGTGCTAACCGTCGTGCGTGAGCTCAGAGGACGACAAATTGTTAATCGTGACTTTTATGGACATACTTAATGATACTTTAATCATTCATCTATTTTAACTACTGTTGTTTACTACGCGGCGCCATGCAGGACTGATAAAGCCGAGGCTGAAGAGACGGAGGGTAATGCTGAAAAGAGCAGAGCGATGCAGAGAAACAGAAATGTGAAAGCAGAAGCTAAATCTGACACCGACCCGTCGGCGTTCCTGCCTTCCAGCAGGGCAGCAGCAGCTGCCAGCTTCTTCCGCTTCTCCTCCTGCTTCATCTTTTTTTCCTCTGCCTAA